ATTGGTAGATTGATGCAAACAGCTAATGTCGCTAAACAGTGAACCAGCCTACTTGTAAACTGTTATAATGCATTACAAAATAGAGGGTCATTTTTTAACCCCATGGTGTCTTTTTAAAAACTATCTTGGCATGACGAAATCCAGAATTTATCTGAATACACATTACCAAATTATTTTGTGGTGTATTCATGAAATATATTTCCTAGTTTGTTTTGACAGACATTAATGAAATAACCTAAGATGTCAGAAAAAAAGTCTTGGTGGTGGCAGCAAGTTACTGATAACCTGGGGCACTGCAGGGGTTAATTTGGTGTGACTGTATGCCTTGTTAGTGAATTGAGATTTTTAACTAGAGGCTATTAACTCCTTTATGCCCACTCTTTCCACACTGCATGCAAATAGTTCTGGTTGCGACAACGTCTTTGCTGGTAATGAGAGCACCACTTAGCTCTCTCCCTGTCTGGCTGTCTGAGATAAAGTGTACTTTATATGAACTCTGCGTTTGATCGCCCTGTCGCTTTCAATCTATTTGGATGCCCTGAATCTTTTCCCTGTAGCTCTACAAGCACAGCTATCTAATGCTATATCAAATCCTCAGCAACAGAATCTAAGATGCCAAGAATTCATGTTGGAACAATAAATAATTTCATAAAGGGAAACTAGGCCCAATGCAGTCATTTTTTATTTTTTATTCTTTATTTACTTGTGGACAGTGCCACATGATTTACTCACCAGAAAATATAACAGAAAAAATATAGATGTAAAGGTAGGATGCACAAATTATGCATACATGGGTGAGAAAGTAGGCACTCATAAGAGATAACAAAATGACCGTCACTAAAGTGTTATACCACTGCTTTATATCTGTAGTGTGTATATAACTACGTACAGTAGTTGTTGTAAAGGCTGGGAGAAGGACCCGGCAACAGTCCACTTTATAACACGGTAAGTCCCATGAGCGACCCTGTAGCCGGGGTCAAGATTCCTGAATGTCACGGCCCCCGGCTGGTCCAAAGAAGCAAAGGAGGCATTTGAAAGATTTAAATCTTTATTTGCTTCAGCACCTGTCCTGACGCACCCTGATCCGACCAAACCTTTTATTTTAGAAGTAGATGCGTCAGAGACAGGAGTAGGAGCCATTCTGTCTCAAAGAGAGAGTCCTGATGCGCCGTTACATCCCTGTGGCTTTTTCTCTCGAAAATTAACTCCAGCAGAGAGAAATTATGACATCGGGAATAGTGAATTACTGGCCATTGTTCTCGCCCCTTAAGGAATGGGGGCATCTCTTGGAAGGTTTCAAAGAGCCATTTTTTATTTTTACCGATCATAAGAATTTGGCTTATATTGGGGATGCTAAGAGATTGTCCTCCCGACAGGCTAGATGGTCATTATTCCTCTCCCGGTTTAATTTTATAATTACATTCAGGCCCGGGACAAAGAATACCAAGGCAGATGCACTCTCTAGACAGTATGAGACAGATGAAGCCTCTGAACAAGAGGTATCCCCGATCGTACCTCCAGAATGTCTTATCGCTACTACAGTTACTGAAATATCTTCTCCACTCTTTGGTGCCATAATAGCAGATCAAACTCAGGCACCCGTGGGGAAACCTCAGGACAAACTGTATGTTTCAGCCTTATTAAGGAAGAAAGTATTTGGAGTATTTCATGATAATCTGACAGCAGGACATCCTGGAATACATAAAACTCTCTCTGCTATTTCCAGAAAATTTGGTGACGTTAAAGACTATGTAGGGGCATGTCAAATATGTGCGGTTTCTAAAACATCTCATCGCTCTCCCATTGGGTTGCTACGGCCACTTCCGATGCCCGATACTCCATGGACCCATTTAGCCATGGATCTCATTGTGGAACTTCCCAGTTCTAATGGGCATAACACCATCCTCATGGTTGTAGATAGATTTTCCAAGATGGCACATTTTATACCTCTTAAAAAATTGCCATCTGCTTAAGAGCTAGTCCAAATTTTCATAAAGGAAATCTTTTGCTTACACGGAGTACCACAAAACATTGTTTCTGACAGAGGAACCCAATTTATCTCTAGGTTCTGCGTGCCTTCTGTAAACAGTTGGGCATAGAACTTTCATTTACCTCTTCGTACCACCCTCAGACTAATGGCACCGCAGAAAGAGCCAATCAATCTTTAGAATCCTATTTGCGTTGCTTTATCGATGCCAATTAGTCCAATTGGTTCAAACTCTTACTCATGGCTGAATTTGCCAGAAATAATGCGACTCACGAATCCTCGAGTCAGAGTCCATTTTATGTAAATCAAGGTTATCATCCCACTATTTTACCTTCTGCATTTTCAGGGACTGATATTCCCGCATTAAACACCCGTTTGACTTCTATCCAGGACACTTGGGATTCTGTTCATTCAGCATTACAGATTGCCTCTAAACGTACTAAAGTTCAAGCTGATAAGAAACGGGGTGCCAATCCTGTTTATCAAGTGGGGGACAGGGTTTGGTTGTCCATACGTCATATCAAACTCAAGGTTCCTTCCATGAAACTAGCTCCTCGATTCATAGGTCCCTTTCGTGTCCTCCGTCGTATAAACCCTGTGACTTAATCATTGGCACTCCCTGCTCATATGAGAATTGCTAATTCCTTCCATGTATCATTGCTTAAGCCCCTCACTTTCAATCGATACACTTTCAAAATGATTGTTCCTCCTCCGCCCTTGGTAGTAGGTAAGTAGAGGAGTACGAAGTCCAAACTATTTTAGACTCCAAGTTCTCTAGAGGTGTTCTGTCTTATCTGGTTGACTGGAAAGGATATGGCCCAGAGGAACGTAGTTGAGTTCTTGCGGACCAGGTTCATGCTCCCCATCTTGTCCGGTCATTTCACAACCGTTTTCCTCGCAAGCCGGCTCCTTCCCGCCCGGTGAGTGGTCGAGTGGGGGGTACTGTCCACGTGTCCACATGTGCGTCCGTGCCCGACCAGCACGACCGCACCAACTCACTGAGCTTATCTGCTCAGCGGTGAGCTGGGAACGGTTCCTCCACGCCGCTCGGTGAAATCCAAGATGGCGCCTACCATGAGGTCGCGTCCATCCATGGCTCCACACCCCAAAATTATACGAACGTGGGCTTGACGTCACGACGTCAACGCACATTCTGGGGTCAGAGGTCACCCTCTGACCAATCAGAGACTAGAGAGGGAAATTTAAATCCCTAATTCACCCCAGTACCTTGCCCTGTCGTGGTTTCCTGTTCCTGGTTCCCTAGAGTGCGTTTATCTTTGTGAATATTACTTCCTGGTATCCTGATATTGGCTTTTCCCTGGTTATTCCGAATTCTGGTTCCCCTGACTTGGCTTGTTTAAACAGTATCTGAGTATTTCTGGCTTCCTTGACCTCGGCTTTCCCTTTTACCATTCTCTATCTCTAGCGTATTAGTCCGGCCATTCTAAGGTCCGGTTTACGCTCTGTCCTTTTATTTCCTTTCCTTTTGCATGTATATGTTTACATAGTTTCTGCGTGTTGGACCACACTAGCAGCCGTGACACTGCACCACTCTGGGAATGCTGGTATTCTAAGCCGTCTCTCCCTTTTGTATCTCGTCGGTAGTTGGAGGCTTTTTAAGAAGTTGGCTGGGTCCACCAAGGCTGACAGAATGTGGATAGCTTCCGCAAGCAGCACTACCAAGGTTTCCGAGACTCTCATCAGTACCAGACTTGTTCCCTTTAGGATTTTGGTCACAGGCATAAAACTTTGTCTGTCCATTAAGACAGAGAAAGGTAGGTCATCAAAGACCAAGATCCTGCTGTTTTCCACCGCAAAGCTGGGGTGCTTTCTGAAGTGGGCCATAATGAATGCTTTTACTGCAATGTCCTGGGTGATCGCGGGGTGCGGTTTGTCTGCGGGGGAGGTCAGCGCCTTCCTTATTCTGAAGGCCAACATTATGGGCAACCTGCCCTTTTGACCGCCATCACCTGTGTCACTTTGTGGACAAATGCCATCAGGGCCTCTGAGCCCACTGAATGTTCTTCCGGCGGTGTCTTGCTTCCAGTGACCCACTGTACAGGAAAGGCGCTGGACCTGTTGGGTAAGGGATTCAACTTGGGAGTTGGAACTTGCCAGTTGCTGCTCCCTGTCACCTTCTCTGGTTTCAAGGTCCCGAGCCTTTGCCACAGCCCAACAATCTCCTCCTGTACTCCAGCAAGGTTTCATTTTCAGACCTCTCTTAGATGCAGGAGTAGATTTTATAATGTCCCCTTTAGTGGAGGGCAACGCATTGGCACCAGATTCGGTCCTCAGGTACACCCCACTTGTAGCATGTAATGTCTGAGGTTCCTCTACATCTTGGGAGTTCTCAGAGTCGCATAAGTCATGAGGCCTCTCAGGCTCCATTTTAATTTGAGCCTGCATTGGTGGCCTGTCAAAGGACCGTCTGATATCAGGAAGGTTTGTGCTATCGGAACGGGCCAATTTTGTTTTTGCCCCCTCTCAACGTGGGGAGTATTAAGGTGTGAGTAATAACAATAATGTATTATAGCAATATGTCCTTTATTTTTTTTTTTAACCTTCTTAGATAATACACAGCAATAAACCAAGCCAGGGGCCAGGCCACAGGAGACCAGGTTTGTGTTAAATGGTTTTAAAATGGTTTGACGCAGAACAATGGGACGAAGCCAGAGGCATGCCTGACTGTAGTGATTATGGTGCGCAGTTTAAAATTTCACCTCCATAAACAACTAAAATGGTAAATAATGTAACATACACTTTATTAGTACAACTGATATAAACATGCCTCTGACCTGGCATTCATATGATTTATTTTCTGGCATCTCTTATCATTAATCAATGATAAAAGGTATTTACTATAGTGAAGCAGAATAAACAAACTAGCAGTATATCTGTATATATAAATAATGAATGTATTAATTGGATATGTATCAGTGTTTGTATAACAGGTTTCCTATGACATTGTTTTGGCAGGTTAGATAATACATGTAATAGGAAGGTCAGTGTATGGCTATGGTTTGACAGGTCTGGTGGGCGGGCAGTGGGTGTGCTCTCCCCAGACAGGGAAGGCTGATAGAGCTAGGCCGCACTGAAGCCGCGGGCTGGAGTTAGCGAAGGGCCCAAGGATGGGCTCCCTGCTGCTGGCTCTCCGGGGCCGCCGTGTCGGGTCTCCGGGGTGCTGGCGCTCAGTATTTGGGAGCTGGAGAGTGCCTGGCCGGGGGTGGAGGGGCAGCGGATCCTCGGAGCAGATCCTACAGGTACCAGCAAAGGGCAAGTTTACCTGGGGCATTATAAAGTATCACAGGGGGGCAGATAGCTGGGACATCATGACATGGCACATAGGGGGGCAGATAGCTGGGGCATCATGACATGGCACATAGGGGGGCAGATAGCTGGGGCATCATGACATGGCACATAGGGGGCAGGTAGCTGGGGCATCATGACATGGCACATAGGGGGCAGATAGCTGGGGCATCATGACATGGCACATAGGGGGCAGATAGCTGGGGCATCATGACATGGCACATAGGGGCAGATAGCTGGGACATCATGACATGGCACATAGGGGCAGATAGCTAGGGCATCATGACATGGCACATAGGGGGCAGATAGCTGGGGCATCATGATATGGCACATAGGGGGCAGATAGCTGGGGCATCATGATATGGCACATAGGGGGCAGATAGCTGGGGCATCATGAAGCATGGCACATAGGGGGGCAGATAGCTGGGACATCATGACATGGCACATAGGGGGCAGATAGCTGGGACATCATGACATGGCACATAGGGGGCAGATAGCTGGGGCATCATGACATGGCACATAGGGGGCAGATAGCTGGGGCATCATGACATGGCACATAGGGGCAGGTAGCTGGGAGCATCATGACATAACATAGCAGATAGCTGGGGCATCATGACATGCACATAGTGATAGCTGGGGCATCATGACGCATGGCACATAGGGCAGATAGCTGGGCATCATGACATGGCACATAGGGGGCAGATAGCTGGGGCATCATGACATGGCACATAGGGGGCAGATAGCTGGGACATCATGATATGGCACATAGGGGGCAGATAGCTGGGGCATCATGAAGCATGGCACATAGGGGGGCAGATAGCTGGGACATCATGACATGGCACATAGGGGGACAGATAGCTGGGGCATCATGACATGGCACATAGGGGGCAGATAGCTGGGGGTGTCATGAAGCATGGCACATAGGGGGGCAGATAGCTGGGGGCATCATGAAGCATGGCACATTGGGGGGCAGATAGCTGGGAAGATTATGAAGTATGGCACATATAGGAGGCAGATAGTTGGGGCATTCAGAAGTATGGCACATACGGGGCAGAATCCTGGGGCATGATGAAACATAGCACATAGATGGGGCATTCTGAGGGGGGCAGATAGCTGGGGGTGTCATGAAGCATGGCACATAGGGGGGCAGATAGCTGGGGGCATCATGAAGCATGGCACATTGGGGGGCAGATAGCTGGGAAGATTATGAAGTATGGCACATATAGGAGGCAGATAGTTGGGGCATTCAGAAGTATGGCACATACGGGGCAGAATCCTGGGGCATGATGAAACATAGCACATAGATGGGGCATTCTGAGGGGGGCAGATAGCTGGGGGTGTCATGAAGCATGGCACATAGGGGGGCAGATAGCTGGGGGCATCATGAAGCATGGCACATTGGGGGGCAGATAGCTGGGAAGATTATGAAGTATGGCACATATAGGAGGCAGATAGTTGGGGCATTCAGAAGTATGGCACATAGGGGGCAGATACCTAGGGCATTATGAAACATGACACATAGGGGACAGATAGCTGGTGCATTGTGAAGCATAGCACGTTGAGGGGAAGTTACTTTGGACATTATGAAGCATGGCACATGGGGGGCAGATAGCTGTAGCATTTTGAAGCATGGCACATGGGGGGCAGATAGCTGTAGCATTTTGAAGCATGGCACACGGGGTGCAGATAGCCATTTTGAAGCATGGCACATTGGGTGCAGATAGCTGGGGCATTTTGAGGTATCATAGGAGGCAGATAGCTGGGGCATCATGAAGCATGGCACATAGGGGCCAGATACCTGTGAGTCAGCTATAGATACAGATAGCTGTGAATCGGGGAAAAATGATAAATAGATTGAATTAACTCCAAATCTATACTTTTGCTAGCTGATCAAATAGCACAGTCTGTAGATAAAATATTCAAGGCTAGGTTTTTTGCATGTTATGCCTAATATGTAGTTACACAGTATATTTGCAGGGTTATTCAGAGTTACTTCAATTGTGAATTCCAAATTTGAGTCCAAAGAAGCTGAACTGCAAGCATTTCTGATAATTTTTCCAGTTTTGGTTATTTCTACCTCGCATTTAAAATTAGTGCTGAATTCTTAATTTAGTTAATAACCATGTACATGTTTTCATTTGAAAGACATTTATTTTTTATTTTTTTCAGAATTTGCTCTTTCACAGGCTGTCCCCAACATGTCATGGACTACGTGGATTATTAATTAAGAAACATCTGATTCAAGACCCAATTCGCATCTGGAGACTTTTAGGTTCATGATTTTTTTCTCTGCACATTTTTATTAACTATTAAACCTGTATCACTGTTTTCATGCATCATTGTGTTTAGTTCGCTAAAAAGTATTGTTTTTTTTCCCCGCTATAGGTGGTATTAATTATTTCAGTACTTCTGAACCCAAGAATAAAGAAAATAAGAATGAAGATGCAAAAGGGAAAACACCACCAGAGGACGATGGTAGGATAAATTTGCTTTAGGAGATGTTTTAGCTCCTTAAAAGACTTTTTACACCCTCAAAATAACTCCATCTAATGATGAAGTTCCTAAGTGCAAACTAAGCTTAAGGTGTTAGACTATTTTCAAATGGTTTATCATCAAGTTGTGTACCCGAGCTGTCATCCACAGTGCCTCTCCTCTGCTCGGCCGCTGTACTGATGAGGAATTGTTGCCTTGGTCGTCAAAGAGAGGCCAGACAGTGCATACAGGCATTCAGTGATCCAACTTTATTGTGAAATTTTAAAATGGTTTAATACAGTAAGGTAAGATGGCATCCATGGCTTGAGGGCGTAAACTCCCTTTAACCCCTTAAGGACCAAACTTCTGGAATAAAAGGGAATCAGGACATGTCACACATGTCATGTGTCCTTAAGGGGTTAAGGATCTCAATCCTGTCCCTAACGAGGCTGTGCTAATATGCAAAGCGTAACTTGCAGCTTGATACAACCCTGCATTGTAAAATGAGTAAAACATTCCATTTAGATATAGAATCTTTAAAAGAACACTATAGGCACCCAGACCACTTCATCTCAATAAAATGGTCTGAGTGCCATGTACCACCCTGTTTTAGTTCTGCAAGTAAAAACATTAATGTTATGTAGAACCGAAGCATTTTCATTGGAGGGTTTAAATGCCTCAATTGGCTATCACTCAGACAGCCACTAGAGGTGCTTCCGCTGAAATAGCAGAGTATAACTCAATAGACTCTTGCTTGCAGATAAAAGGGACTACCATGGGCACCAGGTTCGTGCCCAGTTACGCCAATATTTTTATGGATAGCTGGGAGAGGTCGTATATATGAAATATAACTTAATAATCAGATTAGCGCACCACAGGATTTTCCCACACATTCGCTTCAGTCTCCTTATGCTTTTCTATAAGAAAGTATTGGATTGGCTGAGATCATCAATCTCAATGTTGTCCACAAAGTAGCTTCCCCGCTGTAAGGGAGTAAAGGTAAGTGCAATTAATTTTTTACTCCCTGCAGGTGTGGGTTGAGGACCTAAATGGCCACCAGGCCACTATAGTGTTCCTTTAAAGACGGGTATGTTATGATGTATTGTTTGGTCATTGCTCCTTTTAAGACTAATTGAATACTCACCTCTTGTCCAGCACCTCTCTAGCTATTATTTAAGATTCACAAGTGTTACACTAATTTAAAACCTACCCCTGACTCCAGATAAGATGAGTCTTCGATGAGAATGTTTGCTGCTGTTGTTTTCCCTTTATTTTATTGACTTATTTATTTTCCATTTTTAGCCTTACCTTTTAGTCTGTTCCTGTCTTCCTTGTTATACACAATTTTGAACTGTTCTGAAATAATGTCTTCCTATATACTTTAGAGGAGAAAAAGCGCCGCGAGCGGGAGGATCAGATGTACCGTGAGAGACTTCGAACCCTCTTCATCATTGCCGTGGTGATGAGCCTCCTTAACTCCCTGAGTACCAGTGGAGGAAACATCTCCTGGAATGACTTTGTAAATGAAATGCTGGCCAAGGGGGAGGTCCTACGTATACAGGTTGTCCCTGAAAGTGACATTGTGGAGATATTCCTGCATCCCGGCGCTGTGGTTTTTGGCCGACCTGTGAGTTTTTGTATTTGATCAGTTTTCTATATAATAGTTCATATATACTAAGTAGACACATGTTCAGAATTTTACAGATATCCCTTTAGCTTTTTTGGGTGTTCCATAAAAAAAATAAAAAAAAATTATACAATAATGTATAGATTCTAGAAATCTCTTCAAGGTCTCTAGATCTCGTGTTTGTTTATGTTTCATTAATGTAACTGTTTCTTTTTCCCAACAACAGCGCTTAGCTCTCATGTATAGGATGCAGGTAGCCAACATAGACAAATTTGAGGAAAAGCTACGAGCAGCTGAGGACGAGCTGAAGATTGACATAAAGGATCGTATTCCTGTCTCTTACAAGCGCACTGGCTTTTTTGGAAAGTACGTGAAGCCCTTCCTCACTGACCTGAGGATCCTTGGAGGAGGTTCTTTTTCTTATAACTGCATTCATAGCCCATGCTGGTGGGCCACTAAAGGCTACATATTGATTGATAAAAGAATCACACCTAAACCATACCGGAATTAGTTTGACACCTACTTTGTTAATCAGCATTATTAGTAGTGGAGGCTGGGAGCGGGTTCCAACAGATCCCAGGCAAGAAGTAAAACTATTCAAAAACTTTTTGACCCTTTACGTGTGAGTGAGTGAGGGTCACTACTGGTTCCATACCCACTGCAGGAAGATTTAGTGGCTGTGGTACTTGGTGTCTTCCTTTAAAATCAGTCTTAAAAGAACCCTATAGGGCCAGGAACACAAACATGTATTCCTGACCCTTTATTGTTTAATCCACAATTTAGGATGCTTGCCCCCTCCCCTTAACCCTCTTAGAAAAGGTGAAAACTCACTTTATTTCCAGCGCTGCGCAAATCTGCTGACATTGCCCCCACCCCTGATCCACCTCCTGGGTGACATCATCGGAATTGGAGATTTTTTGCAGATCCAATGCTTTCCCATGGCTGAAATTGGCAAGGAGGCAGGGCCAATCAGCACCTCCTCATAGAGATGCATTGAATCAATGCATCTCTATGAGGAAAATTCAGCGCTGCCCCATGAAGCACCTCCAGTGGCCATCTGAGGAGTGGCTACGTGGTGGTGTCCCTAGGGGGCAATGCAAATTTTTCTGAAAAGGCAGTGTTTGCATGAAAATGCCAGAAGGCAATGATTATACTCACCAGAACAACAAGTTGCAGTCGTTGTGGTGACTATAGTTTCCTTTTAAGATGTAGTTGTTCTGGTGACTGTAGTGTCCCTTTAATATGAATTCAGACAATCATTACTCTGCTTATTGGAAATCTAAAATGTGAACATTCCACACTCAAAAACTTTAACTTAATACACTCCATAATGAAAATTTTTGTTGAATTTACCATAAATGCAGAGTCTTTCTCCGTCAGGTGCTAGAAAAGGGATGTTTTAATATGGCATAATGTGGTAATCTGTTTTCTCTCTCTCTTTTGTTTATTTCTCTTCCCTCTCTTCCCTATTCCTACATGATCATTCGCCTGTCTACAGTGCCCTGTATGCATTGGGCATGGCGGCAGTGGGTGTAGCCATCTTGTGGTACATATTCCGTCTGGCTGGTATGGGTGGACGAGAAGGAGGCTTTGGCGCTTTTGTGAGTTGAGTTTCAGAAGAGTGTTCTTGGGCATAAGACTCAAATCCTTGTTGAGGATTTAGAATGGCTCCATCTACATTTGCAGCTCCCGTAAAAAGCAATTACATTTGACACACAAACACATTATTGCTACATATTGTGATTCCACGCATACCATAGAAGTCATACTCATTTCTTCCCGTTTAATGACAGACAATAAACAGACAAATCTTATATATTGATGGTTCTGACACATCATGTGTCCTCAAAGGATTTAAGCCTATTGCTGTTTGAACACAGTTGATGTATTAAAAGCTTGTGAATATTTTAGACCATCCTATTTGCCAATTTGTGAATTTTTCACATTCTGTTTTTTTTTTTTTTTTATCTTCAATATTTCGCAATCTATGCAATTATGAATAATTTCAAGGATGCTCTTATATTTTTTGATCCTTAATTACTATTGGTTGATTTATAATTTAGATTATCTGTGCCAGTACAGAAATTTTCAATTTCTCCCTTACTAGCAAGACCTTCAAAATTATTCGCCACTGCAAGCCAATGGGACACATGGCACATTGATCAGCTCTAAACTCCTACTCACCAGGAGAAAGTTTCACTCACCACTGGTGGTCAGTGGACATTTTGAGACCTGTCAGTATGAATGTAGTGTATTCTATGTTGTCCCAATGAAACTGTTTGAGAAAAAAAAGTAGTAATGGCAAGCTGTGATAAATACATAATTGCAATGATGAAAAGAATTTGGTTGCTTGCTCCTCCACCACTCAGATGGTTAATCTATGTATTATCTATCAGTGATGAGATACACTCGAGTCCAGTTATTTAACCTGTTCTGCTCTCTTGGGCTCTTAGAACCAGCTGAAGATGGCTCGTTTCACCATCGTTGATGGGAAGTCTGGCAAGGGGATCAGTTTTAAGGATGTTGCTGGGATGCACGAGGCCAAGATGGAAGTCAAAGAATTTGTGGATTATTTGAAGGTATTCAAGAGTGGCAGAGAATTCTTGGCTAAATAGCTCAACTAGATCAGTAGGACCAAGGTGGACACTTCTTATCGAACCTCCTAATTGCTACAGTTCTCTACCACCTCCTGGTGGCAAAGAAATAGTGTCACTGATTTAAAAAAAATTACATCCATTGACATTTATGCAGACATCGCTACTCTTCAAAAGTATTGACCCGAATTGTTCTAATTGTGAGCTATATTATAGATGCAAAGTCCAAAACAAAACTAAAAATTTTTTTTATTTTGATAAGTTTCTTTTAATTTATTTGTTCTTTATATATTGAAAAATCTGTTGTTATATAAAATGAGGAAGGATTATTGATGGTGTAGTGTTTTTATACACTTACAAGTGCTATATAGACGTGCTGTGTCCTTCTTTTGCTCTCAATAGGCGTTTTACTAGCTGTTCAGTTTTCATTGGTACTTGCTCGTGGAAGGATACAGAGAGTTCTATACATTTAATTTCACTCTTACTATGTACAGGGAGTGCAGAATTATTAGGCAAATGAGTATTTTGACCACATCATCCTCTTTATGCATGTTGTCTTACTCCAAGCTGTATAGGCTCGAAAGCCTACTACCAATTAAGCATATTAGGTGATGTGCATCTCTGTAATGAGAAGGGGTGTGGTCTAATGACATCAACACCCTATATCAGGTGTGCATAATTATTAGGCAACTTCCTTTCCTTTGGCAAAATGGGTCAAAAGAAGGACTTGACAGGCTCAGAAAAGTCAAAAATAGTGAGATATCTTGCAGAGGGATGCAGCACTCTTAAAATTGCAAAGCTTCTGAAGCGTGATCATCGAACAATCAAGCGTTTCATTCAAAATAGTCAAGAGGGTCGCAAGAAGCGTGTGGAAAAACCAAGGCGCAAAATAACTGCCCATGAACTGAGAAAAGTCAAGCGTGCAGCTGCCACGATGCCACTTGCCACCAGTTTGGCCATATTTCAGAGCTGCAACATCACTGGAGTGCCCAAAAGCACAAGGTGTGCAATACTCAGAGACATGGCCAAGGTAAGAAAGGCTGAAAGACGACCACCACTGAACAAGACACACAAGCTGAAACGTCAAGACTGGGCCAAGAAATATCTCAAGACTGATTTTTCTAAGGTTTTATGGACTGATGAAATGAGAGTGAGTCTTGATGGGCCAGATGGATGGGCCCGTGGCTGGATTGGTAAAGGGCAGAGAGCTCCAGTCCGACTCAGACGCCAGCAAGGTGGAGGTGGAGTACTGGTTTGGGCTGGTATCATCAAAGATGAGCTTGTGGGGCCTTTTCGGGTTGAGGATGGAGTCAAGCTCAACTCCCAGTCCTACTGCCAGTTCCTGGAAGACACCTTCTTCAAGCAGTGGTACAGGAAGAAGTCTGCATCCTTCAAGAAAAACATGATTTTCATGCAGGACAATGCTCCATCACACGCGTCCAAGTACTCCACAGCGTGGCTGGCAAGAAAGGGTATAAAAGAAGGAAATCTAATGACATGGCCTCCTTGTTCACCTGATCTGAACCCCATTGAGAACCTGTGGTCCATCATCAAATGTGAGATTTACAAGGAGGGAAAACAGTACACCTCTCTGAACAGTGTCTGGGAGGCTGTGGTTGCTGCTGCACGCAATGTTGATGGTGAACAGATCAAAACACTGACAGAATCCATGGATGGCAGGCTTTTGAGTGTCCTTGCAAAGAAAGGTGGCTATATTGGTCACTGATTTGTTTTTGTTTTGTTTTTGAATGTCAGAAATGTATATTTGTGAATGTTGAGATGTTATATTGGTTTCACTGGTAATAATAAATAATTGAAATGGGTATATATTTGTTTTTTGTTAAGTTGCCTAATAATTATGCACAGTAATAGTCACCTGCACACACAGATATCCCCCTAACATAGCTATAACTAAAAACAAACTAAAAACTACTTCCAAAAATATTCAGCTTTGATATTAATGAGTTTTTTGGGTTCATTGAGAACATGGTTGTTGTTCAATAATAAAATTAATCCTCAAAAATACAACTTGCCTAATAATTCTGCACTCCCTGTATGCTCTGTAGCTGTTTTACTAGTTTATGTTGGCAGTTGTCTGCAAAAAGATAAAGAGTGCTATACACTTAAGTATGTTTTACCCAGATAATACTAGTGTTTTCTGTTTCAGAACCCAGAACGCTACTTACAGCTTGGGGCCAAAGTACCAAAAGGAGCTCTGCTTCTTGGACCCCCAGGCTGTGGAAAGACCCTGCTAGCCAAGGCCGTAGCTACAGAAGCTCAAGTGCCCTTCCTGGCAATGGCTGGTTCAGAGTTTGTGGAGGTGATAGGAGGTAAGGGGGGTGCTATTCTGGTTATATCACTCAACCGTGAATTGTTCACTAAAGAGTGAATTGAAAACTGAGCTGCTAAAATACCAGACTGTGACTATAGCAGAGTTGGACCATTGTTCCAAATTTTGCAATATGGTTTTTAAATCGGCTATTTTGGTCTAAAAGCACTATTTATCATATAATATTCAGTAAAATACTTCATCTAAGCATACAGACCAAAGTAACAGACTTGCAGAAGCTTTCCCATATTGTTACTGTTGGCTAAAAATGTGCAGTAGCCTTGTCTGTATAATCATTCCCTTCAGGCTTTTTGCAGCAATTCAGAGAAAATGTACCGTTTATATTACAGCCTAGGGATACCTCCACTGGCTACTCCTCAGATGGATACTAGAGGTGCTTCATGGGGCAGTGGTGCACCTTCTGCATGGAGACACTGAACTTTTCTCATAGAGATGCATTGATTCAAAGATGCTGATTGGCCAGGACTGTGTTTGACTTGTGCTGGCTCTTTCTCTGATCTGCCTGTTTGACAGTCTCAGCCAATCCTATAGGGAAGCATTGTGATTGGCACAGAGAATCACTTCTGATGATGTCAGCCAAGCAGGCAGATCGGGGCAGAGCCAGCAGCTGCAGACTTTAATACAAGTAGGATTTTACTATATTTAGAGGGGCAAGGTGGCTCCAGGGAGGCTAGATGGTGGTTTTAACACTATGGGGTCAGGAATATGTATTTGACTATACACAGAGTTAATGGGGGCTCACTTTTGTATTATTAGGTCTTGGAGCTGCCCGAGTGCGCAGCCTCTTCAAGGAAGCACGCACCCGAGCCCCTTGTATCGTCTATATTGATGAGATTGACGCTGTAGGGAAGAAACGCTCTACCAACATGTCTGCGGTTTCCAATACAGAAGAGGAGCAGACGCTGAATCAGCTGCTGGTGGAGATGGATGGTAAGGTACTCCCCCAAGTTGTTTTATAATAGGCATCGACTAGGTCTGTGCTGCTGTAAAGGCATGTCTTTAATCATCTTCATCAACCATAAATCTCGAGCCAAAATCTCCATCAGTGCTAGTTTTACTTCTCTCCTTATTTCAAGAGAATAGGCTTATTCTTAAATCCCAGATAGTTTTCTGCTCTTCAAAGATTGGTTTGATACATTTTAAAGCTGTATGAATTATATTTTTGTGTTGTCTGTTTTGCTTAGAACATACTTCTCAGCATGCCGTTAACCTCCTCCGATTAGTTGCTTATTTTCCATTTAAAAGAAAATCTTTTTACATCTTTGGAACTTGTTTTTGTGACAGTTTACAAGGTAGGAGGAAACTGAAATGTGTGTCACACAGTTGCTTGTATTTAAAGGAACAGCACGCACACACAAACAGTGTGAGTTTTACATTTTGCAAGGCTACTTTGGAAGTGGTTTAAGCAGTAAGTATTGCAGTTAGCATGTTAAAATCAGTGTATGAGCCATCAATATTGGGGTACTGTGACGTGGTGGTGGGCTTAGGATGATAAGCCATATGGTGGAGCTGTATCCCCATATTTGTCTGCTAAGATGATATAAGGTGATTTTAAGTAGCCTTGTAAAATGTAAAACTGTATTTAAAAAAAAATTATAATAATTTTGTGCACTGTTCCGTCTTTATTTTGTATATATTTTTATGTTCACTTAGAAATGCATGTTCCGGGTGTGCTCCTAATCTCCACCCATTTCTTTTTTTGTATCAGTAAAGGAAAACTCCAAGCACCACAACCACCACTATGGTGCCAGGAGTGCATGCACCCCACTGTTTTACAATAGTTTGACCTCATACCTGGTGTCTGTATTGCGCTTCTCCCCATGTCTTCCCTTTAGCTCCTGTAAGGAGCTTCCATTAGCTTTCCTGTGCAAGGCCCTGTAATGCAGGGCTAGCTCTTTGGCTGATCTCTCTGAAGCTCTGTATGTGTGTGGAGTGTTCCTTTAATAGCATTAGTGATATCATCTTCTTGTAACCATCCCTAATCAGTCTTCATATTTTTATACAGGGATGGGTACCACTGACCATGTTATAGTGCTGGCGTCCACTAACCGAGCAGATATTCTGGATAATGCGTTGATGAGGCCTGGGAGACTGGACAGACATATATTTATTGATCTCCCCACCCTACAGGTGAGATCACAGAACACCATGACATGTGCACGGCACCCTCGTGGTCTCCATGCTGACCTCTGATTTGTGTGCAGGAGAGGAGAGAGATCTATGAGCAGCACCTGAAGAGCTTGAAGCTAACACAGCCTGGGTCCTTCTACTCTCAGCGTCTCGCTGAACTCACACCGGGATTTAGTGGTAAGGAGTAGTTTTGTTTTTTTTTCTTCTTCTTCAAGAGAGAACTGGAGTAAACTTGTTTATATTGTTTAAATAATGTATTTCTTCTTAAGTAAAGTTTATCAGAACTCAAGTGTTGTGTTTTGTTGTTTTTTCCCTCTCTCATTGAGAAAGTTTGTAGGAACTATTCAGGGAACAAAATTGTTTGACTCTAGGTGGTGGTGGATGGTCACTTTAAAGGGACACTCCAGGCACCCAGACCACTTCTGCCCATTGGAGTGGTCTGGGTGCCAACCCATAACGCTGCAAGTGTAATTATTGCAGTTTTTATAAACTTCAATAATTACCTTGCAGGGTTAAGTCCTCCTCTAGTGGCTGTCTATCAGACAGCCACTAGAGGGACTTCCCTGTTCTTAGAACACGAAAAGTGTTTTAAACGACGCTGGACGTCCTCACGCTATGCATGAGGACCACCAGCGTTGCCGAAATCCCCTAAGTCTAATGCACATTAGGTCTCCCCCTCCGGCTGACATCGGCAGGGGAGGCGTGTCAGCTATGGATTCAGGTAAGTAGATGAAGGGGTTTTAACCCCTTCAGCAACATGGGAGGTGGGAGGGAGAAGGGCACTGAAGGGTCCTGCAGTGCCAAGAAAACAGATATCTAAACATTAAGATAAGATTTAAACACAGTATAAACGTGGCAAACTCGAATATTCAACTGTCATAATGCAATAATCTTACTAACTTCGTCCATGTGCAGCATAGTGGCATGGGGGTGATGCCATAACTATCACATCTAAGCATGTATACAGCACACCATAACCAGACTGTAATGCCAGCATGTAACTGTCTCATGAACCTATTATACTAAAAAATGTGCAACGCCTAGCAATACCCTACTTGTTAAATAAGCCAAGCAGCTCAATGCCGTTGGGGTACCTGGAGCCAGTTTGTAATTATTATCTGCACTGCAAAAAGATAAGATTTAACCCCTTAAGGACCAAACTTCTGAAATAAAAGGGAATCATGACATGTCACACATGTCATGTGTCCTTAAAGGGTTAAACACTATTGCCATTGTAAAAAGTTCAACTGTAACCTCATTCCTGTTCTGTATTTAGTTTCTAGAATCCTCATGTTTCTGTGTTGTTTTGTGAACATGATCTCCAGCTTGCATTGTTTGTGTAAAGATTTCAAATTAAAACTTAATTAATGCATAGAAGAAAAATGTACTAACTAAATGTAAAACTAAGCCTTACATAAAGAACACGTGAGCAAAATACACAAAGACCATGGAAGTGACCGTTTCCTTTAATACATAATATCATATCCTGGTCGTAAGTATAACTAGCTGTCAACCATAAGTTTATGTTCCTTCATATAGATGTATGCAGCCACTAACTTTACTTGCCAAATGAAACACCTTTAAACCCCTCTCTCTCTTTCTCTCTCTCTCTCTCTCTTTCTCTCTCTTTCTCTCCCTTTCTCTCTCGCTCTCTCTCTCTCAGGAGCAGATATCGCCAACATATGCAACGAAGCAGCTCTGCATGCTGCCCGGGAGGGGCACCAGTCAGTAGATACCTCTAGTTTTGAATATGCTGTAGAGCGAGTGATTGCAGGTTATTAAAAATTTATGTTTCAGTGTATTAAAAAACAAGAGTTCCGAAATTTGTTCAATTTCATTTTTTTTTTTTTTACATGCAAAGATATGTTATTACTTGTAATGTATAGTATAGTAAACATCATACAAACTCCAGTAAATAGTGATCATAAATCCAATGGAAGAAAAATATCAGCTTTCACTGGTCCTGTATCTGTAGGTTTATCACGTTGCATGCAACACAGTAAAGAAAATGTATTGATAACCTCCATGAGTACATTTTTTTTTATTGTTTATATTTTTAGTTTAGTCATCTTCAAAGCTCGTCCACTTGTTTCAGCTCTTCCACTTGTTTATAGTTAATAATACAATTATGCATTTATTGGAGGAGATAAAATCTTTGATGTGCTTTTTAAGGACCTGGTCAAAGCAGAATTTGTGCCAACATGGAATGATTTAGCATCAGCAGCTCTCTGGATTCCTGGTGTTTCTGAATGAACTCGACATTCTGAGCCAGAATTTTTACAGAACCTTTAAAGTCCTTTAGACATTTACCTGTGTATTCACCGTGTAATGGTTCCGTGTTCTTTTCATACAGGGACAGCCAAGAAGAGTAAGATCATGTCCAAGGAGGAGAGGTGTGTGGTTGCCTTCCACGAGTCCGGTCATGCCTTGGTCGGGTGGCTGCTTGAGCACACAGAGGCTGTGATGAAGGTACAGCGGCCTATTTATGGTTAAATATATATACCGAGCCATGGCAAAATATCCCTATCGTTTATAGTGTTCTTTTATTATATAACTAATTAAAGTGAGCTTGTCTCCACTGGAACCAATCCAAACTCCAACTAAGGCCTCAATTTAATAAGCTTTCCAAATGATCCAATACTGTTAGAAGAACTATCCAAATGATTTTTATATAGACGTCACGTTTTTCTAACAGCCTTGAACCATTTGGAAAGCTTATTAAATGGAGGCCTGAGTTAATTATCTTGTTTGTACACGTTTAATGGCTGGTTTATTTTAATGTGAAACGAAAAAAAAAAAAGAACCTTTTCTTTCTTATAAAAGGCATTTACGAATATATCTGCATAACTGCTTTTTTAATTTAAATAATAATTTCTTTAAAGGAACCCTTCCGTCACCATAACCAGGGGTTCCCTGGCGCCCCCAGTATAAGTAGAATGTTTTGAAATTTTACCTGGGGTATGCCGATCGCTGCTTCCCGTCTCCGATACTTCAGACGGGTGGTACAAGACATTTGCCTCGATTTCTTTTTTTATTTTTTATTTATTTATTTTTTTTTTTAAATTCTTTATTTTGGTAGTGCATAGGCATATAACAGATGCATGTGAGGTACCCCAAAGGCATTCCTCTAGCACAATACGAACAGTGGAACATAGGGGTACAAGGGAGATCAAGCACATTTTTTATATATAAGGGTAGAAACAGTATAGCTTTACTTTGTTTAGGCATTTGCATAACGATTGCATAACATAACTTTCTGGGCATGTGATTGTTTTGCAGTGGCAAGAGATGGTCAAGCTATGAGTAAGTTACTACATGCGTTAAGGAAAGGCTGAGTGAGTCAAAAGATTGGTTATTGCTAGTGGCAGCAGCAGGAGATATGGTGGTAAGATATGCTGTGACATGGCTGACCTAAGTTAGTAACGTGTCGGGTTGGACACCATCATGGCAGGCTGGTATGTCTACCTATACGTGGGTGTTTAGCTTATGAGTAACTAGAACCTTCCTAGCCATTAAGGCTATAGATTAGTGGTCCCACGGATAAGTGTGCTGGACCAACTCTGGTGGCAGGGTATCGAGATTATACTCGGAGAGGCTTGGTAGGTGATTGCTGCGTCCCAAGTGGCATTCCCCCCGTGGTCCCTAGCGTTGACAGGGCCATGTGCCATGCCGGGTTGCTGTATGCAAGTGCCCAGCACCAATGGGACATTGGGCTTAGTGTTTAGTTGGCGGCAGTGGCGCTGGCTTTACATTAAGTGTGTAGGTGCCGTTGTGGGGCATACATGGAGCAAAAGAAAGTTGAATAACATAGTAAATGCAACTCGTAAAAAAAAAAAAGAAGGTACATATTTACACTCTTGTCATAAATAGAGTCCTCCACTGTCTGCGGTTAGGTATGTCTGCTGTGTCGGTCAAGTCCCCTAGCCAACTCCAGCTCTCAGGGCGTGCAGTCTGGTTGCAGGGATCTTCTTGGTGTTATAGAGTGTCCAGCCTCTTCGTTCGATGCATGGGGTCTCTGCGTTGATATAGGCATGGCCCCATTCCGGTGGGGTGGACCTGCCAACGTGAAAGAGTCTGCGTGAGGTGATGTGTCGCCGGCTGTGGTGTCGCCTCCGAGGTATGCCAGGGCCTACCTCCGAGTGTTGTCGGTAGGGGTGTTGCGGTGTGGTCTGCCTGGGGCCCTTCGGCCCTGTCCGGTCCCCGTTTAGCGCAGTGTGTCGCTGCAGCGGGACCGCCTTTTCATGCCTCCCAGGTATGTTAAGTTTTGCCGGGCCCTTGTATGAGCGGGTCGCCGCCATAGGTATTGGTAGTCGCTTGTGTTTACGGGCTTTTCGGTTTTGCCATCCGCAGGCTTTGTTGGCGCGAGGCGGTGTGCACGTTTGTTGGGGGATCACCGGCAGGACTGTGACAGGGTGGTATGCCTTGGCCTGTTGCTCCCTGGAGGCTATTGTCCTCCAGAACCTGGCGAACAGCTCATCCAGCCTGGTCTCAAGGTCAAGTTTCTTTGTGCCTCGGGCACACGTGGCGGCGGCCATTTCGGTCTCCATCTTGTCACTAGCGGTTTGCTGGTTGGGGATGCGATTTAGGCTGCTGCCATCTTCTGCATTCCGTGTAAGCTTGTGGTACTCGATTGTGTGGACCGGGATAACCCCCGCCGGTCCCGAGGGGGGGGGAGAAGCCCGATGCTTCGGGTGCTGCCTTGTTAGGTGAGCCGGGAGAGCGGCCGTCTCTTCCCTGCTCTGCATGTTGTAGGCCCCAAGCCTCCGGTCTGGATTCCCAGCGGGCTTTTGCACGTGTGAGGTGTCCCCCGGTACCCCTGCCTCCATGTAGCAAGGTGGGGTAAGTTGGGGTTCTGAGATAGGCTGTATTCCCACTGTTTTCTGCCAAAAATCAGATTCAGGCCTGGGAGCTCACAGAAAGCGTGTCTGTTCAGCTCCCCGGTCAGGCCCCGCCCCCTATTTTTTTTTTTTACAAACATTCCCGTACACTTTAATGATTATTTCTGTAGATAGATCACCTGGAAACCTTTCTAACATTACTGGATTGTTTGAAAAGCATATCAAATTGCTGCATTATTTCATTGGCTGAGAGCAATCAGCTGACACTGTCAAACAATGAGCTATCTCTGCACTGCAAGGCTTGGCTCAGGAGATCTAACGGAACCTCCTGTTTAGGAGCTTCTCCGTTAGAAGCAGTGGAGGCTGGGAGCTGCCCCTGGCAAACCCCAAGTCAAGCTGTTCTAAGACGGTTTGATTTATTCACACTGGGGAGTCACCAGGGCACTCTTAGCACCATAACCACTGCAGACTTGATAAAGGCCCTTAGGGGCCATTTGATTTGTCCCTTCAATAAAGGAATTCTTGTTTTGCATAAGGTTTGTTCTGAGAGACTTTTCTTTCCCTTTAGAGTTGATGGTGCTTGGAGTGTTCCTTAATAATTTCTTACCACTACAGTTAGTGATTTATTAAGAGCATGTTTAGTATATTAATCCACTGTAGTACCGGGTGAAGGCCTTTTTGAACATTACAGGTATCCATAGCACCGAGGACTAATGCTGCTCTTGGATTTGCACAAATTCTACCAAGAGAGCAGTTTCTTTTCACCAAGGAGCAGCTGTTGGAGAGAATGTGCATGGCACTGGGAGGCCGTGCTTCAGAGGCTATTACCTTCAACAAAGTCACCACGGGTAAGAAACTGGAAGTAAACCTACAGGACAATAGAGATTGCTCTGTATTGTACTAATATATGTTGGATCCAGCTTTTAATAGCTTTGTGGGGTTTACCGATGCCTAGAGTCCGGTATCATGATCAATAAACATAAAAGACGAACACCACGTAGGATCAACATCTAACGTTCTGACAAATGAGTAGCTTCTAGGGTCAGTTGTAATGCAGAACATGAGCAATCACTGTGTATGGTTAGGCACTGAATTAAGAGATAACAGATGTCTGTGAGATGACCACCTTTTCATACTAGATGCTGCAGAGAAGCAGTGAGATGGATTGTAACTTCCCATAACATAGTGCAGATTTTATTAACCTAAAGAGACTTAAGAACATCTAGTGATGATTGATATTCCTTCTAGAGGGTCATTTGATACCTTTGCTCTTGCCCTTGATATGTAGGAGCTCAGGATGACCTGAGGAAGGTGACACGGGTCGCATATTCCATGGTGAAGCAATATGGCATGGTGCCTAGTATTGGTCAAGTGTCTTTTCCTGATGAGTCCACATCTGGCATCGGGAGACGACCCTTCAGCCAAGGGTTGCAGGAAATGATGGACCGGGTAAGTGTAAGCAATTTCTTCTGAAAGTTGGGGACACGACTTTTGTTGGTAACTGACGGCTTTCTGTATGCTTCACAGCAAGATCTTTCCCTTTTACTAATGTAAAGGGTTTAATGGAACGGTACAATACTTATTTAGTTTCAAGGATTGCTCAGTTCATGAAAACAACCTTGGTTGTCATTGAACATCAGGACAAGTATTGTACAGGTCAGTCCGAGGTCTTTGATAATGATAAGCAACCAACACACTAGTACTGCATATAGACAGCTTCAGCTAAAGAAATTATACAGAGCTATATACTATGCTTTAAATAGATAATTGTAAAAATCATTTTTATCCACTATATATTACATAATACACTATTAGTTCTCTCCTTTTGTCTTTACATATATTTCCAAGGTCATCCTAGGTGCTACACCAACACTCCTGTTTTTTTCCATGATCGACTTAATGTAACAGTAGGTGAAAAGTGAATTAGTGACTGGTGTTCTGTCTGACGTTTTAAAAAAATTGTTCTCTGGCGCTTTAATTCTAAGTTCCTTCTCCAAGGGAACTGAAATTCCTGCCATCGTGGGTTATAGACAAACCAGGAACTTTATATTAACACACATATATTTAAAATGAAGCTTGGGTTGTGTTCCACCAGGACCAAATCATGAACTACACATTTATGTTCTTTTTGGACTTTACATGGTGCTTTTCTAACCCAGAAGTTAGTCTGACTGCAGAGTATAGTATTAAAAAATTAAAACATAATAATGAGAGCAAGACACGTTTAAACAACAACAAAGTATAAGCAGATTATATTTTGTATAATGATATGACTGTAGATATGTATTCTGTGTGATTGCATCCAATAGGATCATTTTTATTTCATTTTTAGGAAGCTCAGCGGCTTGTGTCATCCTCATACAGGCGCACTGAAAAATTACTATTGGAAAACCGAGACAAGTTGCAAGCGGTGAGCATCAAGTGTAAACAAACCGCACGTATATCTGTAGTGAATAATCTATTTAATTTATATGTATTGGTCTTCTGCCATTTGTACACTTTATTTATTAAAAAATATGAATTTGTTGTTAGGCTAATTGTGAATTATAATTTTTTTTTTTTTAACTCTGTAGTTGGCCAATGCATTATTGGAGAGAGAAGTTATTAACTACGATGACATTGAAAAGTTAATAGGACCTCCGCCTCATGGACCCAAAAAGATGATTGCCCCCCAAAGTTGGATTGAGGCAGAGAAAGACAAACAGGACAATGGAGAAGATGAGCCTCGTAGGCCCCCACGACCTAAGACAGAGGAGGAGGAGGAAGAACCAAACATGACACCAGCCTGAAATCAGAGCTCAACTTTAATGGTGTAAAACCATTATCAATGGACTTGCAATCACTGAAACTATGAATGCTCTTCTGATGTCTCCATAATGGGGGATGTCATCTATGGAGTTTGACACCTCTATCCCAAAGATATCCAGCTAGATGTTATCCACCAATACCTGGGAGGCAACCTGGTTTTATTGCATTATTTGAAAATATACTGTCTCGAAAAGAGCCCAATAACATAACTGAAGAGGTAGTGTTATTTCTGTAATTGTGCATCATCTCGATTATATCCATTTTAAAATGGAAAAGGCACTTCCCAGGCTTTTTGATATTATGTCCACTTGGCTCCTGTATTTATTCTCTAGTGTGAGGTGTAAAAAATAAAATTTAATTAAAAATCCACACCTCCTAATCCTGCAACTGGGCGCCTCCATCTTGGTTTTCTATCAGTCATTGTTGCCCTTTGCATCGGGCACTCGGCATACAGTAAAGGGGACAAATGAAACCGTGTTTCTATTTCTCCTCATTTGCATCTTAAGCCATGGCTGTGCCTGGACTGAACTGGATTGTGATGTCACTTGCCTAATCTGTATTATAAATAAACAGTGCCTCATGAAAAATTATAGGTTATTTCAATGTTTTATTAAATGCTGTAGTTTCCACATAAGTGACAGTTCCCATTAAAGGGAAGATTAAACAAACTTTATTCTAAAGTTGTTGTTTTTTTGCAGTCTTGTTGATAAATCTCTAGGATCCTATGGGTGCATGGTATTCGTGTCCTTATTCCATCATATTTCAGATATTTTTGCCTATGCGCAATGCCATAATATCTAGGGACAAAGTCTACTTAAGTGTTAACCTCACCACTGACTGGATGAGCGATGCCTTACTACCATTCTCTCGTAGACCTAGACATTTTACACATTATTCAGAGTGTTGAGATTTTTTTTGTCCTTGCAGAAATTATTTTTTTTTAAATCCAGACTACTACCGGCAGTTATGAATTCTCACCAAATGCTAGTCTGGATTTGTTTGCAGTTAAAATATAATATAATGTGTATAGCAATAACCCATAAAAAACATTAACAATTATACTTATATATAATATTTTGGAATTGTATTGTTCATAATTTCAAGCATAACTTTTAACTTTTTAGTTTAAGGCTTTTACTTAAATTGCTAGAAGACAGGGTGATGTAGTTCATCATTCATCAATGATTTGAGAGCTACAGGTTGGCCACCCCTGATTTACAATATTTAAGGTTCAGCCAGGCCTGATGCTTTCGTACAGCTTACTTTACAGGCATAATTTACTATTCACTGAAACATACATCCCAATATAGGGATTTTTAATAACCGGTCTGCAGAGGATATGCCTGCCATACAGTATATAACTTAAATAGTGACAGTAGGCCACTCACAACTATATGTAAAAAAAAAAAAAAAATTAAAAAAATTGCCTTGCATAATAAACTGCCCAAATCTTTTCAGAATTGGGGTCACCTAAATGCTGCACTGTGAAATCTTATTTTATTGCATGTTGGAGGCCCAAACACTGACTCCACAGAAAGTCAGGCAGTTTACTATACAAGGCTCTTTTTCCACATTAACTTGCAATTGTCCTACTTAACCACTATTTAATTTGCATGTACTTTATTACACTCTTTTTGTTTCTTATGTTTCATGGCAATACAGCTAATTCCCTAAATGTATACATGTTGTCATAGAGACCAAAGGAGGAAAAGGGGAAATATTGAAGTGTGTTTTTGAGGTGTATTATAAATTTGCTATGTTGAATGTTTTGCGTATTCATATTTTTTCAGAATATCGAGTCCCAAAAATGAGTCGTGCCTTGTTAATTCACAATGAACTGTAGTGAATTTAGGACACAATAAATGATTTGGAAAATGTCACTTACAATCACAAGTTAGCTGTTGTATCTAACATTATACAGTTCGGTATGGTTTCATATTTTGTGAATAGGCTCCAGTGGGTCTGATTTGTGATGCCATATGCAAGGTCATGAGTCAACTTTCAAAGTCACCCACAAACATACACTTTATTTTCTTATGGGTGACTGAAAACGGCAGTCCCAAAATTAAAAGTGGGCTACATTGCCATGGACTAGTGGAGTCATCCCTTGCGTAATAATTTACTTATTAACTCTCTGCTTGGTAAATCCTAAACTACTTTGGAAACCCAGCAATTAATTGCCTGCCAAATCCAGAGCCTCTGGAAAAACTCTGGGTTCAGCAGTTAGCAGATCTGTGTAGCTGAGTTGCTTACAATAATACAAATACACAACAAAAGCTTAACCCCTTGAGGACCAAACTTCTGGAATAAAAGGGAATCATGACATGTCACACGTCATGTGTCCTTAAGGGGTTAAAGAGACACTATGCACTGTATCTCATTGAAATGGGTATAGTGTCTGGAGTCCCCTGGGGCCATCATTTCATACAGCATTAAACATTTTTTAATGTTTTAATACTACACGAGAGTCCCCAGCAGCCCATCTTCTCTGCTGCTTTGGCTAATGAGGCAGTTTTAGATTGGGCAGCTATAAGTGGCTGGGAGTGTCAGCTGACTGCTTTTAGTCTATCAGAGCTCTCACTGACTATGAATGGTATAACTACAAGGAAGTGTGCAATATCTGCCTTAGCCACACCTCCAGAAGGGGCTGGACTGTGTGTGGCCAGAGACCCTTATTTAGTGTTAAACGGCAACGCTAAATGGAGGGACGTGTACTATAACCAATTCAAAGAGATGAGATGGTTATAGTGACTACAGTATCAAAGTAAAAAATCCTGCATGTACACATAAAAAAAATAACATACTTAAATTATTGATCAAAATCAGTGCTGTGCTCCACTAATCCTCTTTCATATGATAAAAAAAAAAAACATGCAAAAAGAAATTAGGAAATGGGACAATATATCTCTTATTTATTTAGATTAAATATATTGCTACTTAGAAGGACACTACACTGCCCAAAACAACAACAAAAAAACTAAATATATTCTAATTGTTTAGTAGATGTACCCCAATTAAAACATTCATTGAGGGTACATCGAAACAACTTACAAAATGTCCAAGGCAGCTTAAGAAGAAGCCTTTGCGCGGCAGGTACTCTGAGCAACTGATTTCCTCTCGAGTTTAGCTCCACTAACCTAAACATCCAGGAAGTAAAAGGACCTGTTGTCTGATTAAAAGCCAGGGGTGTGTAACAAGGTTAATTTATAAAAGTGCCAATTTCTTGCTTTAGGGCTCTGGAGTGTCCCTTTAAAAATAAAAAAAAACCAAAAAACATTAATAGTGTATTATTAATATTATTTAGTAAGCTGTAAGGCTGCATAGAAATCTTTTATGTGACGGTTGATATTTTGCACCATCAACAATGAGCTGCTTATATTGCAACCCTATTTAGAAAATTGTAAATATCTTTAAGCTATATTTTAAAAATTGTCCAACTTTGCAGATCACGAGGAAAAAAAGGTGAGAATTTCACATTTAGCATAAAATTACCAATTACAAAATTGGAGTTTTGAAGAAGAATAAATAATATTTGCATGACTTTTAATACAAACTAAATTCACACAGACTAAAAACTTTTGCAAATATACAAATCATTTTATCATTGAAAGCATTAAACAGATGCACAATACAGGAGTTATACATTTTACATGTATCCACTGTAATGGTTTCAGTGCTATAAAATGTATCTTCATTAATTTATTTTGGTGTATTCACCCTATACTGCAAAACACACGCGGCCATTTTTACTGTGGGCAAAATGACCGTCACTACTGGCATTACGTTTCCCCGGATCTCTCCTCTGATTGGCTTTGCAGAGGACTCGCTCTTGATTGGTTTTGTTTCGCTCATATCCCATGATGCACCGGAACTCTTCCTCCTTTCTCTGCGGCCATTTTCTCCCTGTGGAGGTATGTTGCTGTGATTCTCCTGCTCTAGCGATTCAATCCGGTGCCATCCTCGGTCTCTGTCCGCCGCTTTGTGTTTTGATTGGCAGCGATGGGTTCCCCGATTACCGGGCCGATATTTTGCGGGGTTGTTTGCGGGCGATGTGACTGCTGGCTCTGCTTTAAAGGGCTCGCTCCCCGCCTGGGCCTAATGGCAGTAGGAGCTGGCAGCACGGGATCTGTAATGTACCGGGAATGGGAGCTGCTGGCCAGCGGAGCTTACACTCTAATATATGGAAGTTGTATGGGTCCCACTCCCCGGTAAGGCTGAGACACCCCATTTCAGAGACCTATATCGCGCCGTGTGCTGTGGCCCCCTTCTGAGCTGGCAGCCCCCCCTGGACGAGTCCTGTGGCCCAGGCCGGTATTGCCATACCCTATAAGTAGCTTTATTCTAGCTATGCGTGCAGTGTGGGCTGTTAAAACTCTTGTTGTAATGTTATAAAAAATTTACAAACTGATTTTCTCTAGAGCTGGTATGTTGCATCTCATCCACTGTATCTGTGATCACTTTTATACAGTTCTGGGGTTTCCTGTGCCAGGATAGCATTGCTGGGGCCTAGGTGACTTATACTGGTGACTGACTGTGTGTATAGCATTCACATGCTGGGGCCTAGGTGACTTATACTGGTGACTGACTGTGTGTGTAGCATTCACATGCTGGGGCCTAGGTGACTTATACTGGTGACTGACTGTGTATAGCATTCACATGCTGGGGCCTAGGTGACTTATACTGGTGACTGACTGTGTGTGTGTGTGTAGCTTTCACATGCTGGGGCCTAGGTGACTTATACTGGCGACTGACTGTGTGTAGCATTCACATGCTGGGGCCTAGGTGACTTATACTGGCGACTGACTGTGTGTGTGTAGCATTCACATGCTGGGGCCTAGGGGACTTATACTGGCGACTGACTATGTGTGTGTGTAGCATTCACATGCTGGGGCCTAGGGGACTTATACTGGCGACTGACTGTGTGTGTAGCATTCATATGCTGGGGCCTAGGGGGACTTATACTGGCGACTGACTGTGTGTGTGTGTGTGTGTGTGTGTGTGTGTGTGTATATATATATATATATATATATATATATATATATATATATATATATATATATATATATATATATATATATTCTCATTGCTTGAGTGATTAGGCTGCAATGCTGCCCAAATAAAACTGTCTTGGTAAATTTTGGTCAGTGTATGTTTAATTTCTATTATTTCTTGAGTACCCATGTATGTTTTCAACGTGGTTTTGTTTTTGCTCGGACATGCTTTGGACCTGTGGAACATACATGATTTCCTAAATGTCTGTCTACTAGCAGTGATACCAGCTCTATTGAGTTAAAGGGACACTATAGTTACCAGTACCACTACTGCTTTACGTAGTGGTTCTGGTGTCTATAGCCTGTCCATGTAAACGCTGACTTTTTAGCGAAAAGGCAGTGATTACATTGCTGCCCAGTAACCTATCTACTGGCAGACAATCAGATGGCCATTAGAGGTGCTGCAGAGTGTGCAATGCTGGCGTTTAGCATCTCCAGACTGCATGGAGACGCTCAATGTTCCCCATAGAGATGCATTGATTCAATGCATCTCAATGAAGAGCTGCTGATTGGCACAGCATGCCAATTCTTTTAAGTTCACAAGCTCATTGTAGATAGGTTATAGAGCTGTTGCTCTATTTTAGAATCCTCTCCTGCAGAATGCTTCCCTCTGACCCCCTATATTTAAAATGAGGCTTGTTAATTTTTCTCATTCTATGTATGCTATTCTTAACAAATTTCTTTTTTTCAGGGAATAAGTCGCCATGGCCCCCAGCCGGAATGGCATGATTTTGAAGCCCCACTTCCATAAGGATTGGCAAAGACGTGTGGCCACTTGGTTTAACCAACCAGCCAGAAAGCTTCGTAGGTGAGGAGCCATCTTTACGCATTGTAGTGCAGAGAGCCATTTTTGTCCTTTTTCCTGCCATGTACACTGAACATTTGTATTTATTGTATGCTGATCTACAGTCAGATGATGACACTTTCTCCGGAATCGCTGTATTTCTGTGATGAATATACATTTGAACCCCTTTTCAGCTGATGACTGTAAATTAGCATTAGTGGTAAAAACTGCCACTTAAAGTGCAGTGCTTTGCAGCCTCTCCAGTAAATCTTTTTAGGAATTTTTGTTTATTGTAAAAGTGTTGCTTAGGGTTAAGATTTAAAGATATTCAGCATTTTCTGCAAAAAATCATACAGGTGTCAAGTCTGTATAGATCATGGAAACGGAAAAATATAACTTATTTTTTTTCTCTTCAAGTTGTTGGAGCTATAAAAGATGCTTTGTTTGTGTCTTGATTAGAAATGGGTTTTAGTCACCCTGTGTGCAGCAGTATATGTAAAATGAGCCATAGTGCCTGACTATTTTGAAGGACAAGGCAATCTGGGTAAATCTTCAAAGTAGGAGCTTTTTTTTTTTTTTTTTTTTTTTTTTTTTTTTTTTTTTTTTTTTTTTTTTTTGTGTGTGTAATTTGCTACTTTTAGCAATGGCATTTTCACTAGAAAACTCCTTTTAAAGGGACACTAGGCACTTTTAACAAAAGTTTATTGAAATTGTTATAGTATCTGCAGTCCTATCCCCCATACAACTTAGTTCGTTAGTAAGAGGGCTTTCGAACTGTGGCTTCAAGTCTTGCCTCCAAGACCTCTGGGGATGAGAGCCTGGATATACTCTCATCTTTCTCAACTTTCACCGTAATATACTGTGCAGTGACGGTTGGCCATAGTGAATCATTGTATTAAATGATTCTAGATGGTGAAGTCTGATGGGCATTTTGGCATGCGCCTAAGGTCCACAGTGCTCCTTTGAGGAGCATTGGATTGGTCCGTCATCCAGGATGACTCCACCCGTAGAATAGGTTAGGGCAGCAGAGGAAAGGTGAGTAATTTGTTATATATATATTATTTTTTAAATTCTTTTTGTAGTGCATAGATAATCACACAAGTTTGTAAGGACATATCAACAATAGTTAAAGCTTCAAGGAAGATTACATATCTCACAGGACATGTAGAGAGGCTTGCACTTAAAAAAAAAAAATAATAAAAAATAAAAATACATCTGTGGAACAGTAATGTGTAAATTGTTTTCCTTTTACACTGGGAGACTAGGGCTAATTGGTGGCATCAGGGCTGTAGTGTTGGTAAAACCCGTGTATATTCCTTTAAAGCTAAATGGCATCAGATGCGTGTGTATTAAAGTGTACTTATTTCCTTCATAGACGAAAGGCACGTCAGGCCAAAGCCCGCCGCATAGCTCCACGACCTGTTTCAGGGCCTATCAGACCGGTGGTGAGATGTCCCACTGTCAGATACCACACTAAAGTGAGGGCTGGCAGAGGTTTCAGCCTTGAAGAACTTAAGGTACATAAATGTGAAAAGCCGATGTCATTGCTGAAATGTAAGGACTTTAAAGATTTGTGGTGTTGCACTGGTGTTCTATAAGGACATTTGGCTACTTAGTGCTAGAAGTCACATGATGACAAATCTCCGGAATCTCTGTAACTCTGTGATGATTACTTTGAACCCTTTTGTCTGATGACTTTGCTCTTGTTTTGTGTTTGCACAAAAGGAACATTAAAGCAATCTCACATGAGCTCTCTTCATCACATAGGCAGCTGGCATCAACAAGAGAGTGGCACGCACCATTGGCATCTCTGTGGATAAGAGGCGCCGCAATAAATCTACAGAATCCTTGCAGACTAATGTGCAGAGGCTGAAGGAATACCGTTCCAAACTGATCATCTTCCCACGCAAACCTTCTGCTCCTAAGAAGGGAGACAGCTCTGTAAGTATCAAACCCCCACCCTGAGTTGATATACCATTTAATATTAAACTCCTAGTGCTAAATGTAAATGGCTGCTTGACAGCTTGGGCTTCCACTGTTTTACTTGAGAGATCTGACTGCCATTTTTAGGGTCGAAAAGGAAATTTTGTTTTTATTTTTTTCCATTGTTGCAAAACTGTAAAGTGCTTCAAACTGGTTTTGTTTATTTTGCCTTTTCGATCAGCAGCAGAAAAGGATGTTGGTGAAGCTGAACTTGATGGATGCAGATTATTTATTTTCCACCCTCCCCCCCTCTCTTCCCACACTATGCAACCATGGATGTTGTCAGCTACAGTAGACTTCTTATGGAAGTTTTTTTTTTTCCTGATTTGAGTGTTTTTGGAAGCCACTAATATATGTACATGCACTTTTTACAGTCACATGATGACAATACTCCGGAATCTCTGTATATTCTGTGATGATATGTGTTGAACCCTTTTCCAGCTGATGACTGTAAATATGAAATCACACTGTAAAAATGTCCTTGTCTCATCAATCCTTTTAACATTTGTGTTTTGCTTAACACCATTCAGGCTGAAGAGTTGAAGATGGCCACACAGCTGACTGGACCGATTATGCCAATCCGCAGCGTAAGTTCACTTAACATACAGCTTTGAAAATGGTTTGCTTATTAAGTCTGTTTTCCTCTGGTTTTTAACTTGCTTTGTGTCTTCTCTTTATGTTGCTATATCCTGTTCAGTTTCCGGTCTACTGGCATATTGCTGTGAACCTATACATTAGTTCAGTTTATGAGTGCAGCCCTCAATAATATGCACCTTAACGTAATACATGCTTACCTAGCCTATGATTGCTTATTTTGATTACACTCCCTATAGAAAAGTACATAATAAAACTAATGCCCCTTTAAACTAACTTTTTATGCTCATCTGAAAGGGTCTTGCCATCCATGTGCTTGTAGTCCTGATGTCTGCCCTTGGTATACCCTTCTGGTTATCAGATTTATAAAGTTCTACACCCCCACCCTCTCCTTTCTGGGCTTGCTTTCTAGTCCGTAAAAAACGATGGCTTGTTCACTGTCGCTTTGTTGTCTTTAAGAGCTTGTTGCTGTTGCACTATTTCTGTTTGAACTTTTTAACTCTGTATTTAGACTGAACTAACCACTTCATCTGGTCTCTTTAGGTCTTCAAGAAAGAAAAGGCAAGAGTCATCACCGAGGAAGAAAAGAACTTCAAAGCTTTTGCCAGCTTGCGTATGGCTCGTGCCAATGCAAGGCTATTTGGTCTCCGTGCCAAGCGGGCAAAGGAAGCTGCCGAGCAGGATGTGGACAAGAAAAAGTAAACTTATTCCTGGAACTGTTAATAATAAAAAACAAAACCTCAAATATTGTCCTTCTTGGGTCTTATTTTTTTTCTCCCCTCATTAAGGTAAATAATGGCCTTTTAATACCTGTGACGATCTGTGGTTTGCACTGGGTATTGTACGTCGGTCATGTTTTAAAGATTTAATCACAACAATGTGCTCGTTTTTCTGTAGTTCACTATGGAAAAGTTACTTGCAACTTTGGCATTTGACCAAAGATCTCGGGTGTTAAATAGTTGGAAACCATGTTGAATTGGCTTTGGTAATGCAAAGTGGGAGGGGGGCCACATAATGAATCACTGCTGTCTGTATGTATAAAACCAATTGGAGCTCTATTAGATGCAAGGCTAAATTCCATGTGTTAGTATTTAGAATTGTCCCGGTAATATATAAAACAAACACCATTGCAAAGTCCACAACTTGCTTTATGTGGAGTGAACTGGTATCTGAGGTGCGTATAAAGGGTTTTTATTTTCTTCCTTCCCAGAAGTGAGATGTGTAAGTGTTTGGAGAGTTTGTGCAAAGCTAAATTTGTTTTAAAACTTCTGAATTTCTTGTATGCATGGTGCACAGTTTGCTTCACTTCTGAATTTCCTTTATAAGTTTAATTTGTTTTGGATTGCACCAACTGACATGCAGAGGCTTTTGTAGTATGTGAGGAAGGACTAGGCTGCAGACACATGGGTTATCGTGCTGGAATGGCTTGTATAAGAACCAGAGGACTGCGGCAAAATGGCGCCACTAAAACCGCATGCAGTGATTATGTTGCATGACTGACCCATAATTGGTTAAGATGCAAAATGTGTGTATATATATGTGTGTGTGTGTATATGTATATATGTATGTGTATGTGTGTGTATATATATGTGTGTGTATGTGTATATATATATATATATATATATATATATATATATATATAATTTTTTTTATTTTAAACCTGGATGATTCGAACTATGGTCGATGGAAATATCAACAAAAGTTGTCTTGTAAACCAATGAAATGTGGCTAATTTGTAGTTCGTTCATAAAAACCTTTGCCAGAGGTGCACGAATTGGGAATGTTGTCTCTTACCATTTTTGTTTCTGAAATTGAGGGTGTTCTGGGAAGTCGCTTGATATAGCATGAGGTTGTAGAATAGATTTTAGAAACACCCAGCAGGTTGAATTTCATGATTCCGTTAGTAGGAATGTAGTGATCAGTTGCTTAGTGTCTTAGCACTTTCATGCATGGGTTGGTTATTGTGCACTGTTTTGCTACACAGTATTCCTTGGTTGTCCAGGGACAGTATGTTACTCTTGTGCCAAACATGTTAATGGCAGAAACTGAATCTGGAACCAGCAGTTGATTTACTGACACTTTCTGGGCTATCCAGTTATGTTACTAGCAAATCTGTCTTAACCTGTGGCTTTTTCTTGTGCGATTACAGTGGTAACTTGCTGACTAATTTGGTATATTGATATGTGTGAACACCTGTTGCAATATACTGACACTGCACACCAGGGCTTAAAACTGTCACTAGCCATTGGCAAATGAAAATACAGACCTGGTGAGTATGCACTCCAGGCTTGCAGTAGTGAGTAACACTTAAGGCCAGGCTAGACGAACACGACTTGAAACTTTTTTTTTTTTTTTTTTTTTTTAAGGCCTGGCAGCACCTCATTGTCACTAGCACTGTGTTTGCAAACAAAGGTTGTGTGATCTTTCTCCCCAGTTTATAAAAGAGCCAACTTCATTACTGCATTTAAAAATTTTTTTTTAAAAAAGGCAGGGAGATTTACTTCCACTTTAGTTGGCAAAACAGAGCTAAAGGAAGCATCAGTGTGTGTGTGCCAAGTTTGGGCTGTTACAATTCATTGGAAAGCCACGATCGTGTGCAGCTTCAGTGGATTCTAAATGAGAAGCCCCTGCTAGGGATAAAGGGAATGCTTGCAAAAGATAAAATTTATTTTTTTCCATCTCCATATACCACCATGGAAGCCATGCAGGACAAAAGCACTGCTTGTTTTCTTTTGGGAGTAGCAACTAAATAGTTGCAAATGTTAAGTGACTTATGCTGTAAGGGTAGGACAACACACGGTGTATGACTGCAACTGATCTTTAAACAAACACCTTAAAGCGGCACTGTCATGCTGAACTTAACTTTCCTCAATCTCTTCCTCTTCTCCCCCTCTCTCGGGATCTGTTATTCTTTTCTTCCTGTCTTCTTTCGTTTTCTTTGAAACATAAGACAAAGTAGGGACTCTTTGCCTTATGGAGGATTCCTCCGCTTGACCAGCTCTGACCAGCGCAGGAGCAAAGTGTGCTTCATTTCCGCTGGTCAGAGCAATTTTCCCATGATTCTCACCTTCCCTCTGTGTTCCCACAATGCTTCCTGTCATTTTAGCTAAAACTGCCGAATTGCGTTCTAACTGAATGAGAACAGTATGTTCGTTTCTTTTAGAACGCAATTCGGCACTTTATTGGATCGGAATTTCATTCGAATGAATCTCCGATCCTATTCATTGCAGCGGCTGTATCTTGCAGCAGCTTAGTAGATAACTCCCTAATTCCCACGGCATCAGGGAGCTATCTACTAAAAGGCTGAAAGACCTACATTGGTCTTTCAGCCAAATTTACTAATACTAAGTAAAGATTACCGCTCAGGTTTAGTAGACATGCCCCTACTCACGGTATAGCGAGTAGGGGCATTTGGGAGATTTTAATCTCCCTTGTACTATTATGGGGGTCATATTGACCCCCATAGAGTGAGAGGGGGACCTGGGGGGGCTTATGAAGTGGTGGGGAGCACTGCTCCCTGCCGCTTCTATAGTTACATATTACAAGGAGGGAGCTGCATGCCGGTAGCTCCCTCCTTGTAATAAACTGAACGAACAAACTAACACTGATACACAGATACATAGTGTTAGTTTGTTCGGCTGATCTTTTTATTCATTCATTCGTCTGTCTGAATGAATAGATGAAATTCCCGTTCGCATGTCTAGGTGTTTCACTGGGCATGTGCGGGAATCTCACAGTCTGTCTAGTGAGGGCTGATGACGTGTCCCTGAGGGACTTCATCTAGCCACATAAAGATGGCGGTACCCTGAATATAGATCGGGGCAGAAAATAAAGATTTAAAAAGAGGTAATCTGGGGGGCTTAGGGGTATTTGGGGGTGACTAGTGGGTCAATTGGATGTAGTGGAGGTGGGAGGGGGGGGGGTTTAAAAAAAACAAAAAAAATGGGATTCGGCATGACAGTGCCGCTTTAAGCACTTCAGCTGAATGCTTGTTGTGGGGAGTACCTTGCAGATTTCAACAGAAATTAGAAAATGTAACCTTGTTACACCCTCACAACTAGTCCGGTTACTTCCTGGTTTGTTTGGCTCAGTGAAGCTACACTCGAGGCAGTAATTGCCCAGGTCACCTGCCTTGCGAAGATTTCTCATTGAGCCACACTAAGAAGTCTGTGATTGGATGGTCACCAAAAGTCTAGGGGAGGTTAGAAGGGGAGGGCTTGCAGAGGCTGCAGACGAGATACGTGTTTGCTAGTTTTTCGATATACCCCAATGAAATGTGACACTTATTATAATCCCAATCTATTAAGGGCTATCAAGTAAAATGAGAATATTTCGCATGGGACGTGATCTACTTGAAACCTTGATAAGTGGGCCATTTCTGTCTGTGAAATGTACCAGCTATAAACTAGTGCTGATGTACGGACTAAAGGTGGATTTGGCCTACTGAAATTGTACAAAATATTTGACTGTACCACTCTCACAAAGTAATATGGTATACTTCCCCCTCATCCCCCCCCTCCCCCTTGATAACCATAGATTGGTAGACCTGGAGTCCATCATAATGTGCTCCGATCAACCCTAATTTTGGATATGGATGCCTAGACAGGATGGGTCCACACAGGTTTTGGACTCAATGGTTCTAAGGTTTGACCTTGCATGGTCGCCCTCACTCCCTTCTGTGCAACAAGGCTTTTGAACACTGACTCAGAGAATGGGATTTTTGGACTGGAAAATACAGATATGCAATGCTATATACACATGTATCACTCTACAATCATTCCAAGACCTAAATTTTTAAGACAAAAAAAAATCAACCACAGGCGACTTTTTCCAATTTGACCCAATTAAGGGATTTTAAACGTTCCAAAATAGTTATAACGGCCTTACCACCACTTTCGCACACCATAGAGCCCAGATGGGGAAAGATACATTGAACATCACACAGTGGGATGAAGACCTACAGCAGTCTTTAGAAGTGGCAATACATTTGGGAAGCTGTAGTGAAAACTTCCATGTGTGTCAACTTCCAAGAACAATCGTATAAAACCTTGATGTGATAGTATGATCATCTGTGGTCAAGTTACACCACACGGGCAGATCCCAATCAGATGAATGCTGCAAGGGCTGCGGACAAAATGGAAGATCTATACATATGTGCTGGATGTGCCCTAAGGCATGACAATATTGGGAGATGGGTTTTTAGATCTCTCATCTGAAACGATGCACCGGCACACAGATACTGAGCCGTGGTCCTTCCTTTTGGCCAAACCTACAGATGGTCTCCCCAGCAATGAACAAAAATTATTCAACTAAATTATACTAGCAGCTCGTAAGGCTCTGGTACAGCAATGGCCTGGATCTGAAACTCTCACAAAAGACAAAATATTAAAAATCAGAGATAATTACTTAATAGCCTTAAACGGCCCAGGTACATAATTCCATGAGCAAGTCTCTTCCTTTCCTCTCTATTCTCTCATGCAAAGAAAAACATTACTGGTTAAAATTCAGATCCAGGAATATCCAGACTAACATTTGATATGGGTTCACTGGGAGCAAATAAAGATGTGAATTAGAATGTCTAATATAACCTGCTATATCATGTCAAAAACAATGAATGCAAAATAAACCCTTTTCTCGAAAATATGGTTATAACCAATTGTATGCCTTTGCCAATATGTATTTCCTGTCCTCTGAAAATAATTCTAATTATAATGTAATGTGATTAATAGCACATTGCGCAATGTTTTTCTAAAATTCCAAGGATTAGCTGTCCATATAAAAACCAAAACATTTTTTTGGTTTTAATCTCATCACTTATTTTTGCTTTATTTCCCATTGCTTTAGAATAGTTTGATGCTTCATAACTGATAATTGTCTCACTGTGAAGAAAGCAGATCCGTCCTGTAGATATCTCCTTTCCAAAGAACCTGGACTAATAAATATTATTGCTAACATCTGGTAAGACATTAATTCTTAAAGATGGACATTAGTTTTGAAATATGTCATTTAATTTATTTATGCTGTAATACTTACATGCCACCAGGTGGCAGTGTTTGCCTGCTGTTTATGGCATTGTCACTGTTACACAAGCAGAGCTTACACTCAGCACGCGAGCTCATGCCTCAGACAGACAGTACATTTAATTAGGCTTTGTGACAACTTGTGTTTCCTAAACTGGCAAGAGCAGTTTATTTTAATTAACCGGCTTGATGAATTCTCTTTGGGGACTTCTTCAGTCTTTAGCTGTGCTCGGGCTCATCACACGGCTGGTTTTGCTAATTAGTGACATTTTCTAGATGACAGTGGTAAAGGAAACGTGTAATTCTGCTTGCGTGTTTTTGCCGTGTGGCATGCAATATGCTGTGTGTGCAGCATGCTGCTCTAACACTGGAAGGCCTGTTTACCAAGAGCCCTATCTATCCTCTATAAGATGCAGCATTCTCTATTATTATGAAATAATTAAGAGCCTGCTGTCATGCTGGAACCTAGCCTTATCCACACTACCAGGGTTATTTAATAAAGTGAGATTTCAAAGTGAA